CAGGCCGGTAACCCCGCTCGGCTGCAGCGATGAGCGTCACCCGCTCGCCGGTGCGGTGAAGTGACCCCGCGGTGGTGCTGGTGCCTGTGGTGTGGCTGAATCCTGGGTTCCAGGACAAGGGGCTTTCATCGTACCCCCGATACTATTGTGCACGGCCAGGTGGGGTGGTTGCACAGGCAGGATTCGTGCTAATTGTCTGTTTTTCTTGCAGAATAACGATTTTCTCAGGAATACGGTGCATCGCCATGAGCCGCCGGTCACTGCCCAGCCTATCCAGATCTTGGTGGAGGATAACGAGGTGGTGGTTGTGGACAAACCCTCCTCTTTGCCCGTACATCCCTGCGGCAGGTTTCGTCACAACACGGTCATCTTCATCCTGGGCAAAGAGCATAACCTGAAGGAGCTGCACACCATTCACCGCCTCGATCGCATGACCTCCGGGGTGCTTATGTTTGCCAAGACCGTAGAGGTATCAAAGAGGATCGATGAGCAGGTTCGGGAGAGACAGGTGAGAGCTAAGGGGTTCTGCAGTATCTGGGGGTCTCTTTTATGGAATTTTCTTGAAACAGGTCCAAATTCAACCAAATTTGGGTCTAAACGACCACAAGTTCCTAAAACAGCTTGTTGGAATTTTCTTGAAACAGGTCCAAATTCAGCCAAATTTGGGTCTAAACGACCACAGGTTCCCAAAACAGCTTGGGGTCATCTTCCTGTTCTCATTGGATGTATTCATCAAGAGAAGAAGGCTGATTACAAATTTAATTGATTTAGGTAATACTAGATCAAAAGGGATCTCTGTCCCGAAGAGACTATGCAGACTGACTGGGATCGTGCAAAATAGTCAGAGAGCAGTTTTACTTGTAAGTAGAAATGTGTCAGTCATCTAATACTTTTTACATTTTAAAAGTTTTTTTCTCATTTTTCCGGTTGTTCTTGACCCAAACAGAACTGTAGCTGTAGGGTGCTAGCTTCCAGGATTTGCTCCAGGGCAAGGTCACTGAGAGACAGTGCTTGAATTTAGTGTGAGGAAACCGGACAGGCTCTTGTGTTCTTCGTTTTCCCTCTAGTTGAGGAAAGCATGAGAGAAATTTGGCTTTAAATAGCTGATTTTATTTTTTTTCCCTTTCCTGATAAAATTTGGGCAGTACGCTGCCTGCAAATGTATTTCATTGAGGAGAAAGAGAAGAGTAGCTGGGATGGGACTCGGGTGTAATCAGGACAGACAGTTTTCTGTTTTCTGAGCATTACTCTTGTGTCTCCCCGTAGCTGGAAAAGGAGTACGTCTGTCGTGTGGTGGGGGAGTTTCCAGAACACGAGGTGGTCTGTGAAGAGCCCATACTGGTTGTTTCTTACAAAGTGGGAGTGTGCCGTGTGGACCCCAAAGGGAAATTCTGCAAAACCATCTTCCAGAGACTCAGTTACAACGGCAAGAGCAGCGTAGTCAAGTGTCTTCCACATACCGGCCGCACGCACCAGATCCGGGTCCATCTGCAGTATTTGGGGCATCCTATTGTCAACGACCCCATCTATAACATGGAAGCCTGGGGCCCCGAGAGGGGGAAAGGCGGCAAGATCGATAAAACGGATGAAGAACTCCTTAAGGCACTAGTGGAGGAGCATCGTTCCAAACAGAGCCTGGATATCTTGGGTATTTCGGAGGAGGACTTGCACTCCAATGCTGAAAACAAAGACACTGGTAATTCAAGTGACTGCACAAAGTCTGTGCAGGCTGATCCTATAAATGAGAACCCTTGCGCTGCCGAGGATGCAGAGGATCCCGAGAGGGACGCCAACAATCCCGAGAGAAATGACATAGCAGCTTGTCCACTGAACTCTGATGGCAACCTGGAAACACCTGAAAAAAATAAAGAACTCGGTTCATGTGAGAATCAGGAGGGGCAAACGGGAGAAAAGAGTTCGGAAGAGAAGGACCCTTTGTGCGTGGAGTGTAAAATTACCAGGCGGGACCCGTCTCCCAAGGATCTGGTGATGTACCTCCACGCTTTGCGCTACAAGGGAGCAGAGTTTGAGTATTGCTCCAAGATGCCCGAGTGGGCAATGGAAAACTGGGAGGAATGACCGAGGACATCTGACACTTAGGGACGTTGTTGGCCAGGAAGGTGTCTTGCAGAGACCTAAGATTTACTGTTTCAGTGTGGTTGAGGTGAACAAACTGCCCGTGACTCGAGATGGGGTGGGAAGGATTGTTGGAGCTGGAGAAGCGTCCTGGCTGCCAGGAGGCACTGTAAAAGCTGAGCAGGGAGACGGGGGCTACAACATGAGAATTATGTTGCCCCTTAGTGAAGTACACTTCTGGGCACCAAACACCGCTCGGCACGGGCAGCTTTGCCTTTCACCCCAACATATTCAAGGTCTGCTGTCGATTTTCCACATGGATAATGAAGTGTGAAAAGTCAGCAACTGATTTTTCTACTGGCCTGCTATGTGATATTTTTGTATTCTGCAATAAGAGCTGCTGGAATGCCGTTGAATATGCTGGATGCCGTGTCATACGCAAAACTATTTTCGCTGTATTTTATTGTCAGACTGATTTTAAAACCCAAAAATCATCACTGAGAACGCTGTAAGGTAGAATCGGAGCACTGTGGAGCTGATTCGTTTTCAGCTGTGCTTTGAAACTGCTCCTTCAGATTTGGTTCAAATTATTACTTCATTTAAAGTTAGTAACTGGGGATGGATCTCTTTGTATTTGGCCTATTTTTGGAGGTACGAGTTCCCAGATTTTATCTTTATGGGATTTATAAGGAGACTGATGTAGTAGATTTTTTTTTCCCCTTTCTGTTCTGCTACCTCACCTGTGACACATCTCCTGCCTTCTCAGAAACGTCTGGTTTCTCTTCTGAGAACCTTTTGATCTCTAACCCTGATATCTCATTGAAAACATCTTCATCCCTGAGCAAAATTCCGAAGTAGAGGTCATTCTGCCAACTTCTATATTTCTTTTTTTTTTTTTTTTTTTTAAACCGTACTGCAGGCAGGTTGTTTCTGAGTGGGGTGGAATTGTTTTTAGTATCACTTCAGTGTGACAGTCTGCTGTAAAGAAAGACAAAAGCTGTTTTATGAACCAGAAGACTTTTAAATAAATACATTTTATATCAATGTGTTCCCAGGGTGATAAATATCACTGTAGTTCTTATTTTCATCACTGTTTGTATGGTTGCTTCTTGGCCTCAGGGAGGGTTATTATAATAACTCCGCTGTCTCAGGTTATTTTTTATGTTTTTTTTCCTCTTTTCTGTGGCACCAGTGACTGCTGCAGACCATCAAACCCTTCACCTGTGAAGAGCCGGTTTGTTTCCAGAATTAAACCCTAAAACATACCCGACACCCCTCTTCCACGGCGTTTGGCGTTTGAACTGGTGCCGGTTGTGAGGCCGCAGAGCCGCGGTCTGGCTGCTCTCACCACACGATTTAGTCTGATCTCATTTCCACAAGGCTTTAACCCTTCCTCAGCCCCTCATCTTCCAGATATTTACCCGAAGCTCCTGTGAAGGCCCAGGCTGGCCGAACGCGACGCCGTGTGGGGATGGAGAGAGATGGCAAAGCGGTTTGCTCGCAGCAGTGTCCCGGGCGGTTTCTGAGGAGAAAGAGTGGGAAGGCGGCTCCCACCGCGGGGATGGGGACACCG